CCCCCCCCCCCAGTGAAATTCATTCCTACGGGGTCTTAGAATAAAGTTCAGTTCAAAGTGGTCAAGAACAAGGGCTGACATTGTGGGCTGGGAGCCACCCTTGCTTCAGCTGTTTGCTCAGCATTTAATATGTTTAACTTTCTGCTAAATACATTGTTGTTGAGTCATCTCTATTATATAGCCACCCATCGTGAGGCCCAGCTCAGCGAATCCAACACACAAAGGCAGGCCTTCTATCCTCGGTGACCTTACATCCTACAGAGTCAAAACAAGTGCTTTCTCTTACTTCTCACTTTAGTGAGCGAAGTACCCAGGTTCTGAAGGAGGAGAATCGTGTGTTCTTTCATCAGGTCAGGAACCATGAAGCAATAAAAGGAAAGGAAGAACTTCAAGTGCTCATTATGTTCTTAATATCATTCAGTGTTGTGGCTGCAAATGGAAATGGAAAGTCAATTTACCCAAAAGTACCACCAGCCTCCACGCCATCAATATTTCATGGTAGACTATTATGTTTTCACCACTGTCAAAGCAATTCTATTAATCAAACAAATATTTGGATTAAACTTCTAAGCTTTGGGCAGGAAAAAACAAAAAGCAAAGACCACATGACTTTGAAAAGTAGAGAAACTCATGAAATGCTCTCTGTTTGGTTTTCCATAGAAATTGTTCGAGCTATGACACACGTGATAAACCAAGGAATGGCCATGTACTGGGGAACTTCGCGGTGGAGCGCCATGGAGATCATGGTAATTTCACTTCTATTTTTAAATGGCCGTGGAGCCCCTTATTACAGGTATTATTGCACTTTGCTTTACTGCTCTTCACAGATACTGTTTTTTACAAATTGAAGATTCGTGGCAACCCTGCAACAAGCAAGTCTGTTGGTGCCATTTTTCCGACATCATTTGCTCACTTTGTGTCTTTGTGTCACATTTTGGAAACCCTCACAATATTTCAAACTTTTCCACTATTATTATATTTGTTATGGTGATCTGTGATCAGTGATCTTCGATGTTATCCTCTCCAGCAAAAAGATTACCTCTTGCTAGGTGAAGGCTCAGGTGATGGTTAGCATTTTTAGCAGTAAATTATTTTTTAATTAAGGTATGTACATTGTTTTTTTAGACATAATGCTACAGTGCGCTTAATAGACTACAGCAGCAATTTTCAACTGGTGTGCCGGGCAGACCACTGGTGTGCTGTGAGAATTTTTAAACATGCAATACCTGACTATTTAGCCAAGGGCACTGACCTCTTTTCCCTTAGACTGTCAAATAAAAAAATGACAACAGCCAACACAAGCCATCCAGTGTAAATGAATCAAAATTATACCTCTTCTTTTGTCAGATCGGCAAAAAATTTATTTTTTGGTGTGCCGCAGAATTTTAATAATTAGTTTGTGTGCCATGAGATGAAAAAGGTTGAAAATCGCTGGACTACAGCATAGTGTGAACATAACTTATATGCACTGAGAAGTCATAAAATTCATGTGACTCTCCTTATTGCAATAGTCACAGTATTGCAGTGGTCTGGAACTAACCCTGCAATGCCTCCGAGGTATGCCTGTGTTGTTTCTCAGATGCCATGTGTAAATCGCAACACCTCTTGCAATCTTTCCTCCCAGTCGCTGTGACACTAGAATTCTGTGATCAAGTCCATCATTGTAGAGAGAGATATGGGGGCTGGATGTCATCAGCCCAGAACACAACGGGGAGGGTGCAGGTCTCTGACAGGAATCGTGTTTTAGCGTATTTTTTGGCAGCAGGAGAATAAATTGAATTTCTTAGCTAATGAGATATATGAATACAATAGTCTTGTTTTCTTTTGAAACTCTATTAAATAACTATGCTTTTTATCACATGCTAGTTACAGATTATTTGTAGATTATGAGTCTGTTTCATTTCTTTAGAAACCTAAAAATCATCAAACTGCATTTACTTTATCTTTGTCCATAATTCACATGTGGACTGACTTGCCCTGGGCTTTCCTCAGCCCAAACCCTCCTGAAAGATAGTAAGGATTTCTTGCATAAGAAGCTGTTGCTCATGGTGAAACTGCTGGTCATAACTTTGCCTACTATTTGGCATCCTCCCTGTTTCTTGATTTGTATTGATTTCACGAAAACGAACATTTCTCATGCATATGAACCACAGGGCAGGCTTACTTTCCATCAGTATAAATCCAGCTGCAATCTTCTCTCTCCCTAGGAAGCCTATTCTGTAGCAAGACAGTTCAATATGATCCCTCCAGTCTGTGAACAGGCCGAGTACCATCTTTTCCAGAGAGAGAAAGTGGAAGTTCAACTACCAGAGCTCTACCATAAAATAGGTAATCTTCACAAATTTACTGATTATTTTTAACCATAGGAGGCCCAGTGATCTAGGAAAAAAAGAACTACTGAAATACCTTCCTAAATGTCCCCCATTAATACAGGGATGTAAGAGCTATGCATTCCAGAGACTGGAAGAATCGAGGGAAGCTGCAGCAGAGGTGCACATTGTGACTGGCGCACAAGCTGCACTCAGGAGGTGTTCAAAAAGTGCATACAGAATGAAGGGAAAAAACCATGAATAAACTCATTTTTCACAGGGTGCTTGCTGTAGCCAACACATGCATCCTCGAGGGAATTATGACTGCCTCTCCAAAAATACATGGATTTATACATCTATACCTCCCACTCTGTGCCTGGAACTGAGTCAGGAGGGGAATTCAAGGACAACTCACAAGTGAGGCATTACATGTTTGTGTAGGTAGAAATACTGATTTCAATAAGAGGCGGGGAAATACATACGCAACATATACACAAGAATTTCAGACATCAGAAAAACGTGAATGAGCCACATTTTCAGGCTGGTTTACATGGCCCACTCCCTATAACTGACTGTGCACGTTTAATTGGTTTATAAAAATGAAGCATGGTTTGTAAATGCCTAAATTTTAATAGAAAGATGTGTGCTGGTATGAACTCTTTATGTCTGGCTTTTTCTCATAACTAACCAAGTCCTGCTGAAACACGCCCACACTTTTGATCCCAGTTCGCAACAAGCAACATTTTAAGCTGTTTTTCTTCTGCAGGAGTTGGAGCAATGACCTGGTCTCCACTTGCCTGTGGAATCATCTCAGGAAAATACGGAAATGGGGTGCCTGAAAGCTCCAGGGCTTCTCTGAAGGTATTTCCCTCCACCTCTAGAAAAGAGCCTGGGGATGGGAGAGGGAGGGAAAGGGTGGAGCAGAACAGCTCTGTAGCAGCCTGTGGCTTCCAGCTCATGCAGACCATGGCCTTGGCCTGCAGATGCCCTCTGGCAGGCTCCCCTGAGCCCTGAGCCCTGAGCCCTGAGCCTGCCAGAGGTCTCTGCTCTTGGCCAAGCATCAGTCAGCCCTTCATAATCTGCCTGCACAGAAAATTCTCCTCCTCTGAGGACTGGGGGGAAATGCCCAATGACCTGGTTGGATAACTCGAGCTCAAATCCCTACAGTTATTTATTCTTATGTTAAAATCGGCCTTTCATTTCTCCTTTGAAACTGATGAAATATAAAATCCCTTTTCTATATAAGAGGATCTAATTTTACTTTTCTTAGCAAAACAAAATTTAAGCCACAGAAATTGAATCCATATGGGACAAACCGGTTGTAACTGAGCACGGTTTGAGGTTGGTTGACATTTTTTACTGTGTGGGGTGGAGGGAGGATTCAGAAAACAGAAACACAGCCAAGCCTCTGTCACTGGGGCTCAAGGCTGGCGTTCAGAGATCAACTCTGGCTGCTAAGTCTCTTAGTTTAAATTCTTTTCTGAAGCCTAAAGATATTCAAGATCACTGACATAAAATTTCCTCCATTCAGAACGTCTCGATGATTAATTTATTGGAGGGTACGCAAAACATCTCTCCTTATTAATAACAACATGTCTGTTTTTAAAAACAGAATGTGTAATAACATTAGAATCACAAATTACTCCATAATACCAGGGGAGAGAGAATATAGGCATTTTCAAAATTCAGACAAGCCAAAGGCTCCTAAGAGGAAGCATAAGTCTGAAAGCCTCTTGCCACCATCAGCACAAATTTAGTGGGAGATCAGTTCAAGTTAGGCCCAAACCACCAGCCCTTTAATCAGTGTGGCAGGGATGCCATGTGCTTCCCTGATCAGAATCTTCTCAAGGCTATCACTTTCCTTTTTGCCTGTAACAGGTGACCTATTCGCTTGTTTGTTTTCTAAAATAATATAATACAATATAAGCATGGTGACATGGTCCTATTTCTAGCTTTGCATTATCATGAATATAATTATCCTAGAATATTAAATATGGTCTTGCTTCCGGAAATTGAACCAAGTCTGAATAAGTCAGCAAAGAAAAAACTAAAAAGCATTTTGGGGAAGAAGGTATAAAAGGCAAGGAGAGAGTGAAGAAGGAAGGCAAGCACTGGAAATTGCAATTTTACAGAGCACCTGCTATGTGCTACACACTAGGCGAAGAGTTTTCATTCATCTCCCTTTACCCTCACAAAGATAAATGGGTACAGGTGACATTTAGTCAGTTGTAGCTAAGCATGTTGCCTTACACTCTTTCAGAGATATTTTGAAAAACTTACAGTACTTCCACATGTATGTTGGGTATTTGTTCTTGGACTATCCTTATGAGACCTTTTCCAGATGTAGGAACTGAGCACAAAGAGGTGAGATGCCAATCCGAGAGCAGAAACTCCTAATAGAGAAGGCTGCTATGAGAACCCAGGTCTCCTGGCTCTCGATTTAACTCCCTCAAACCCAGTTTTTTAAAGAAGGAAGACACAGCTACCCTGTATTTGGGGTGTGTGGTTGGTTAACCTCCGCCATTGTTTGGGAAAGCTTACAGGCAGCTGGAGAAAAAACTTTCACAACTGCACCAACAAAAGGGGAAAGAACAAAAAGGATAGAATATATTTGAAGTGCTAAGCCCAAAAGCAGCTCAGAAAAGGTTTCTGGTTTTGGCTTTTATAAAATCAACTCAATGCCTATTTTGAAACATCCTTAACAGTAAACATTAAGGGCTCTCAACAGGTGAAAGGCAGCCCATCGCCAAGCAGGCTTTTTTAGTTCCAGAGCTGTTGGCGCTTCCTAAATCGCCAGCCTGAGTGTTTTCCCGACTAATACATGTGCGCCTAGGAAGGCCTCTTGAGCACAGCAACTAAAGAAAGAGAGAAAGAAGAAAAAGCAAGGATCTGGACAACTTTAGGAGGGAGTGAGAATGCTAATAGGAAAAAGCAAAAACAAACATTTTTTTTTAAAGATACAGACCTAGCCCAGTAGACAAAATGGGTTGGCAACTTTCACATACCCCTTGCTCCCAAAGTAGAATAAATGACTGGTGTTTCACACTGGCCGTTGTAAGATACACCAATAAAATAAAGATGCTAATATTTTATGTCTGTTGTAAATATTGGACTGTATTTGAGGAATAAATGAACCCCGAGTGAAAAATACCTATCTTTTAGAAAGTAATACTACCCAGGGGGGTTGCGGGAGGCTGCATCTGGCCCACCGTTGTAACAGTAACTTGTAAATCAGTATCATCAGCTCTGAGTTCACTGCTGAGCTAAACACCGCTGCTTCTTGTGTCTATTAGATACCTTCAAGTGGCTGTCCCAGGGGCATCAGTGGTGCCTGGTGGAATCTATCCTCTCTCCCCCCAAACCTGCCCTTCCCTCCTGGCTGACCGGGCCCCCACCTGCCCACTTGGTCATCCCAGGCAGAAGCCAGGGCATGATCTCAGGCTGCCTCCTCTCTTCCCTCGCTCCTGTCCAGTGGGGCAGCCGCCCTCCAGTCCACATCCTGACCCTCCACGCCCTGCACCGTCCTTGTTCAGATCTCCATCGTTTACCTGGTTTGCTGCAGTAACCTCCTAACTAGACTCTGACCCCACCCCCCTTTTCTCAACTACCCACTGCTGTGACCAATTCTCTTTCTAAACAATTAATCTGGCCATATAATAACCCTGCTTAAAATCCTTTAAAGACTCCCCAGTCGTTGCTTATAGGACAAAACCCGAACCCCACAGAAAAGCATTCAAGGAAATCGCCTTGGGATCTAAGTTGGACTCATTTTTCTGTTCCTGTCCCTCCCCAATCATGCTTTTTATTTTCCACCCGAATGCACTGGACACTTGCCTCCCAGAAATGTCCTTCCTTTCATGCTGCTCTGGAAGGGCTCCTCGTCTCCAAGGACAAAGCTGGGTTGTCTTCCCTCTGTGAAGCCTGTCCTCACTTTATAAAACTGAGCTATTTGCATCTTCCTCTATTATCCCACAAACACTTCTTACAGTCTTAGGATCCTCTGATTGCAGGCAATAGAATTCATTTCAAACTAATTTAATCCAAGTAGGGGAACACATAGGCCTTCTTGGGAAGGGTGAGTGGAGGTAGCCTCAGGGGTGAATGCATCCATGACTTGCACGTTGTCAGGACTGTCTCCTGTTTCTCTCTGCGTTGGGGTGTCATTTTCTCCTGCAAACAGGTTTTCTCTATGAGGCCAGGAGCAGGAAAGCTAGTGACTGCAGGCTTACCTCCTTAAAGCCATGTAACCCGAGAGAAAAGAGATCACAGTCCCAGCATTGGAAGATAGCAAAGCAGTGGGCTTTAGGAAAACTTTAGAGAATACTATGACTTATGTATAAAAGCCATCTGTGGGGAAAAGCTCTTTCAGTGGTTCCTTTGGCAAATAGTTTCTAAGTGTCTATTCTGTGCTGAGTGCTAAGGTCTCCAGGATGAATGGGACTGCGGGGATCCTCAAGGAGTAACTTGGGGACTTGTTTGAGAGACAGACATGCGAAGGAGTGAATTATGAAACAATGGGGAACCCACAAGCACTGTGGCCTCACGTAGGACTGCCAGCAAAGCTGTACTGCGTGAAGGTGGGGATGCTCACCCTGAAAAGTTGAAGAGATCTAGTTTTACTCTGTGGGGCCCTGGCTGGTTTCTCAGATTCCTTTGGTATGAGGAAAGCAATATAAATACTACGCATCTACTTTTTAAAAAACCCTAACCTGCTTATTTTCCAATGATTGAGGCAACAATGAGATTTATAGTGTTGAGGGTGAAGAGAGTGACTTTTATTATAACAGTTAGTTATAATAAAAAATAATAGTTCAAAAAGCATTTGGTTATTGGTCTTCAACCTTTTTAAAATTTGAATAATATTCAAAGAGACTAGTCCCCTGAAAGATGTTATGAAAGTGAGGATTAGTGATGTTTTTCTCCTTGGGGACAGCAAAAGTTCAGGGGCTCTCTGACATACCCAGAGCCCTGCTCAGGGAAGGTTGCTGGGCCCCCGTCGCATGTTCATTGTCATAACTTCCACTTCATCACAGCTGGCACCAGCGTGGTCTCCAGGCCACCCTTCTTCCTGGAAGAAGCTGAGGTTTCCCAGAGCTGAGGCTGGGAAAACTCTTAGCCATCTCCCTAAACAAAGTCTCAAGTGAGGAGCCAGACCCTAACTAAGCCTTTGAGATGTAGGAGGCAAACAGAACTGGGGTGGCTTGTCCTTTCTCTTTTTCACATCTGCAAAACCATTCCCCAAAATCGTAATAAAACATAATGTGGTTACCCTTTTCTTTGAAAATACTGTCTTAGACTTACAAAAAAAATACTTAAAAAACAAAAGCCAGCTGTCCATTGAAATCCTGTGGGCGGAGTGTCTGTGACAATCGCAGAGCTTTCTGCTGCTGCCTTTGGGAAGGTAAAGGTCTGTGGTGGCAACTGTGTCGCAAGTGCACATGATGGAGAAAGTCCACATGGCCACACAGTGGGATGGTTTTTATTATTTTCACGAAAACAGACTAACCGACTCTTACAAATATTCTTTTCCTTTGGGTGTTGCAACTTAATAGCTCTGTACGGAAGAGTCTCTCGCTTCCCTGTGTCACAGTAAGAGCAGAACCTTCTGGAGAGTAGGCCACTGAGAAGTTCTAAAAGATTTTTCTCCTTATACTTAGGAAACGAGGCTTTCCTCAACGCTTTGGAATCTACAGATCAGAGTCGGTCACTTCTCATAGGTTTCAAGAACAGTTTCCCATCTTGAGGTTCCTTACCTTTTTAAGTTTCAGTACAGAAAAGGTAATACACATTTGGGAAACTATTTATCCACTCGAAAAATTTCTAAACGTGCTTGGTTCCTGTCAGTTATACCATGTCCACTTTAGGAAGGAGCAAGCGAGTGAACGATAAAGCCCCATTATGAGAATCTATAACTGGGAGTAAATGGGAGGCAGGAGGGCAGAAGAGAGTTATAACAAGAATGTATGACCATGGTTTCCTGGAGCACAAAACTTGGAGCCCAGCTTTCTTGACAAAAAGGAAACGTAGTAGATCTGGGTGAAATGTAAATGCTTATTTTTTATTTTGCTGCATTCTAAAAATGGGCTCCCTCAATAAGAAACATTTCTTCCACTTAGCAAACGATGTAATTGATTAGGTCAGGATTTTAACAACTTTTGATGGATTTCAGTGGTGAACGTTAGTCAAAATTAATCTGTTTTGAACCAATAAACAAGGAGCGAGACTGTGAGGAACAATTCTTCGCAGGGAGGCAAGAGCATCCTGTCCCCAGGAAACACACAGGTCAGAGTGAGCGAGAGGCAGGAATTCACGATGAGGTTCTTATATTTCACTGAAGTAGCAAATCTTTGACACCAAACCCTTACCGGACATTGACATTTAAATGTTCTTTTTATTCCCAGTGCTACCAGTGGCTGAAGGAAAGAATTGTGAGTGAAGAAGGGAGAAAACAGCAGAACAAATTGAAAGACCTCTCCCCAATTGCTGAGCGCCTGGGCTGCACACTCCCTCAGCTCGCTGTCGGTAAGACAATGACAAGGGAGGGGTCCTGCCGGGCACAGAAAATACAGTCTTCTCTGTGTGACCCACGCCCCTGTCATGATGAAATTTCTATTGTAGGGCGGACTGATGTCTGGAGAATAGATTTCTGGTTAGCACCAGCTAAGATGCGGTGATGAGGTTTTCAGAGCTCCCCAGAATTTTCTGCGTGCTAAAAAACTTTTCTTCCTTCCTTTCCCTTTCCCTTGTAACACAGTTCAAATGAGAACACGTGAGTAAAGATGCACATGTCTGTCCTCCAGTGTCGGGAGTGAGAGCCCTCAAACTGTGTAGGGACGGCATTTCTTCTGGCTCAGTCCTGTTGAAGTTCAGGGAAGGCGGGGAGAGGCTGAGAAGCGGGCTGTGGCAGGCCCAAGGCCACTGACGCATGGAAGGCCTACCCTAGAGGAGCAGCTTCACCCTGAACCTTCCGAGGGGCCATGAAATTGCTCTTTCAACTGTGAAAGTCATGGTCACTGGTAACAACTGAAAACCACAGGCACCAGCACTGTCCAGTAGAATTACAATGTGAGGCACATATTTTTTTAAATGTTTTTTATTGATTTTTTTTTTTTTTTAGAAATAGAGGGAGAGGGAGAGATAGAAACGTCGATGAGAGAGAAACATCGATTGGCTGCCTCCTGCACGCCCCCTACTGGGGATCGAGCCCGCAACCTGGGCATGTGCCCTGACCAGGAATCGAACCGGTGACCTCTTGGTTCATGGGTCAGTGCTCAGCCACTGAGCCACGCCAGCTGGGTGTGAGCCACATATTTAATTTTAAATGTTCTAGTGGCCATATTCAAAAGGGGAAAAGGAAATAAGTGAATTAATTTTACTAAGGCATTTTTATTTAATCCAGTATAGCCAACATGTTACCATTTTAACATGTACTAAATATAAAAGTTACTGAGATCTTTTACACTTTTTTCATACTAAGTCTTCAAAACTCCACAATGTATTTTACAACTACAGCACATCTGGTCAGGCTAACCACATCTCATGAGTTCAATAGGCGCACATGGCTAGTGGCTGGGTGTTGGACTTTCAGTTCCCTTGCTGGGGGATATTGGCCAGGCTCTGTAATAAGCACTTGCTGCCTCTGTCTTGTCCCCTTAATGGTTAGAACAACCCTATGAGGTGCATGCTATTACAAGCCCTATCTTACAGACGTTAATAGAGTATTTGCTATTATCTCCACTTTACAAATGAACTGCAGATAAAAGAATTCATGTGGTAGCTATTGTTACCACACTCAAGGGGTTCGCTGCTTAGTGTGCTCTGTTCAAGAATGAGAGGTGATTGTCACAAGGTAGTTTTATTTCCTTACAGCGAGTAAAGGAGACAAGGGAGTCAAAGCCAAAGCTTTGTCTTCTGGAAGGGAGGCTTAACCAATGATTATATACGCTATTTGGTCAATTACATGTTGATTTCAGTTGGTTACACTTATTGATTGGAATGGGTTCTTGTCAAACTCATCCTGTTTGCAACTGGTCTGCAAAATACTGGTGTTATATTTTAACATATAGCAAGAATAGCATTTAGTAAGAATGGTCCAGACCTTGAGACCCTAATCCTACCTAACACTGTGGGAAAAGAAATTAGATGTACAGTCTAGAAAAAAATCCTAAGGATTAGGAAATAGCAGGAATTGGGACAAATCAGATACAGTGACCTAATGAGATAAAAAGCTCAAGATAAGTTCTAGACAAATAATGTGATAAAATATTTGTTAGAAGCTTGACCCTTCTGAGGTTGGAAGACAGGGAAATGGTAGTTGCAGTTAACAGTCATAGAAAGATGGAAATTGGAGGTGGTTGGGAGTGGGGAGAGGAATACCACTTACCCAAGTATACGTATGACTGTTGCTTTAATCCTTTCTTTCAAACAACAAAAAAAAACCACCAAGAATATATTTAATGTGATTAGTTAGCATCTCTACAACTTTAATGAACACAGTAAAAATATTAGCCATTTGACCATCAGCAAGTTATTTAACCTGCTGTCAATTTTCTCATCTGTAAAATGGGTGTAACAATACATATCTTACAAACTTGTTGAGTAAAGGGAAATTACATATGTAAAGCAAAGTGTGGGTGCTCTTTGTAGTAGTGGTAAGAATGATGATGTTGTTTTTGCAAAGAATTAGACACCCTGGACCTAAAATTCTGTCTACCCTTAGCCATGGCATGTGGTCAGAATACCGGGCACAAAGAGAAACACTTACTCTTGAAAGTCATACATACAGTTTTTAGGTGAAAGTGAGTATCTTTACAAGATTTAGACTTTCACTGGATGTTAGATACACACAAAAGACCCTCCCTACAGAGTCTGCGTTTAAATTAAAGCACGCTTTGTATTTCCTTTTCCTGCCTCTGTGCCCCCAGATGTCTATCTTGCCTGTCATTTTTTTTTTTTTTTTTTCATTATTTAGAAACAAGTAGTTTCGTTTTTAACCACAGAACTCTCAAACCAAGAGAGGAATTATTTCCAAGCAAATTACCTTTGATCTGCTGGAAGGGTGTGGGGGAGGGGAAATCCTACAGCAGGAAGCAAACTGCTTGAAGCCAACTGTAGGAGGCTCCCATGTCATTTACCAGCACAGGAGCAGCATTCACACCTTGCTGGTAAAGAGGCACTCTGGATTGTCAGCTTGGTGACATTTGGTTAGATGCTAATCATCTAGAATCATCTGCATGTGTTACCCCTGCTGCTGGCCAGCTACTGCCCATTGGGCTGTCCTACAGCCAGAGTGGGGAATTGGCTCTTGCTGATACCAAGTAGTTTATGGGCAATGATTTTCCCCATGCCCTGCTTTGACCTCAGACCTTCCACTAGCATCAAAAAGAGTTGCAAGTGCAGGAAATAATACAGCCAAAAAAAAAAAAAAGCCCTGAACTACTTGGCTTGTTGCCTTTATAGAGCATTATTTTGCTCATGTGGAAAGATTTAGCAATTGCCTTAAAAGGCCATGGTAACAGCTTAAGAGTATTAGCTGACAGCGGGGCCTTGTGCGAAGAGGGCAGAAGAGGTGCTCAGACCCTCTTCCATCCATCAATCATTCACGCCTGTTTATTTAACAAACATTTACTAAGTGCCTACTATGTGCAGATCCCTGGCTGAGTGCTGAGCATCCAACCTCAAATAAAACACATCTCACAGCCTGAGGGGCGAGTCAAAAAAATAAACAGATCACTGTACTACAGTGTTGTGGTAAAATAATTGGGCAGGGCCCAGGGGTTTGGGAAGTAACGCCTGGCAGCTCCCAACCCAGCCTTGGACTCAGGGGAAGGACTCTGGGAGAAGGCAGTTCCCGTGGGGAACCTCAAGTGATGAGTAGATACTGTGAGGCAAAGGGACATTCCAGGTCCAGAAGACAGCTGGAGCCGAGGGGATGGAGAGGGTTTGCAAACAGTTCCGTGCTCCTGAAGCACAGCGTTCAAGGCAGGGGGTGAGGGGACAGGAGCTGGAGAGCGGGGCTAGAAAGCAAGGTTTGCCAGGGTGAGGAGTTCATCACATGGGACAAGGGTCACGTCAGGCACACGTAGAACATTTAGCCAGGCAAGTGACAGGGTCAGATCTGTATCTGGAGAAACTCTGCTGGATGTGTGAAAACTGAGGGGAGCAGGGCGTGGAGCCTGGAGGGGGCAATCCAAACAAGAGGAGGAAAAGGAGTTTGCAGGAGATGGTGAGGGCCTGAAGGGGGGCAGAGGAGAGCTGAACCAGAGCAGTGATTCTCAGCTGTGGTGCCTGCACCCACACAGTGCAGTGCTGTTCAGCAAGAAAAAGAAATGACATACTGGTACGTGCTGTAACGTGGATGAACCTCACAAACCTGCTAAGTGAGAGAAGTCAGACACAAGGCCCATATTGTATAATTCTGTTTAGATGAAATGTCCAGAAACAATAAATCTGTAGGGTACAAAGTAGATTAGTGGTTTCCTGGGGCTGTAGGAATGGGATTAACTTTGTAAATGGGCATGAAGGAGCTTATTGGGGTAATGGAAATGTTCTAAAACTGGATCTAAAATGGTGATGGTTGCACACTTGATACATTTACTAAAATTTATTGAATTGTACACAAAATGGGTAAAATTTTCGGTATGTAAAAATCACCCTGATAAAATTAAAAAAAAAAAAAAGAAAATGTGGTCCCTGGATCAGCAGCATCAGCATCATGTCAGAAATGCAGATTCTCAGGCCCATCCAGACCTGAGTTAGAAACCTTCGGGGTGGCACCAGTAACTGCTGTCTCACACGCCCTAAGTGGTTCTGATGCATGCTAAACTTTGAGAACCACTGGATTAGAGAAATACAGTGTGTCCCCCCAAAAGATACGCACACTTTAAATGGAGTCTATTACATTTTGAAAAGGAAATGTATTTTAATAAACACTGCCTTTATAATTGTTCAAAGTGTGTGTATACATTTTGGGGGACTCCCTGTATTTAAATAGCAACTAGACTTGCCACTAAATGAGAGTGTGGGATCAGAAGGGGATGGTCCCTAAGTGGAAGTCCTAGGTTCCTGGAATGGACTGCTAAGTCGCTACCGCCCCGTGAGATTGGGGACACAGGAGAGACAGGCTTAGTAGTAAGTAGCAAGAAGTTTGCAGTGCCTATGGGACACCTAGCAGAAAAGTCCGGCTTATGGGCCTACAGAATCACCTAGGTCCCAGCAGCGAGGAACTCAGAAGTCTACTGTAACCACAAGGAGGTTCCTGGGAATTTGGCTTCTGACCTGGCAGGAGGCTTAGTAGGAGGGGCCTGGGAGGCGAGGAAGGGTGATCAAGGAGTCTAACATTTAAGAAATGTAAGAAGGGGAAGGGTGAGGCAGTAGCTGGCGGGTATGGTCAGGGAGGCTTTAGAATGGGGGAGATCTGAGCACATTTTGCTGTTAGAAGGCAGTAGTATGAAGTAAGAAATCCAGGAGAGAGAATCAATCAAGTCCAAGGGCAAAGAGAGACGGATCCAGGGCAGAGTTGGCCTCGGGCACAAACAGCACATAGCATCCCGACACTAGAGTATGTGGATGTGTCCTGTGTCCATGCAGAGTGGGGAATTAAGGAGCACTCCACCTGAGGGACTTGATTTTTTACATAACGTCAGAGGCCAGTCATCTGCTGAGAGCAACGGGCAGGCTTAACAGAGGGCTCAAGTGTAGAGGCTGCCAGGAGGCACAGGAAGGAGTGAGGGATTTGAGGGATTTGAGGGTTGGTGAGATAATCAACACAGGATGAATCTTGTGTTAGGAAGAAATGGTCCAAAGAGGGTTGACAGGTAGGTGGAAAGGGAGGCCTGAATAAGCTGGAAAGCAGGAGGCTGTAGGCCGGCACGGAAACAGGAATCCAGAGGTCTGCCAGGTGCTCTCATGAACTAGAACGTGTACCTGGGCAAACAGCTGGACTGGACGCCCCAGTCGTTAGGGCAAAGCCTCGTGTAGAAAGTACAGAGCTCTAAGCCCACAATTCAAATGCCCAGATTCTACCAACTCCTCTCCATGACAGAGGTGCTGCTGAGGTTTATAATCCTGGAGCGCACTGTGCATCCTCTCCCAAAAAGTCAGTAAGTTTTGGTTGCAGCAGTGGTAGCTGTAGGTCGTGTTTATGTCATCAGGAGGCCTTTGATATCCTGACCATGTTCTTTCTTCCCAGCATGGTGCCTGAGAAACGAGGGTGTGAGTTCTGTGCTCCTGGGATCATCCACTCCTGAACAGCTCATTGAGAACCTCGGTGCCATTCAGGCAAGTACCACAGCCCTTCCCAAAGGACTCCAGGGGGTTTCATGGTGTCAGGGAAGATGTCCCCAGGTAGTGTCCCATCTCTCCCCACCTGGTCCTTCCCCATGTCACAGCTTCCTAGTTACACGAAAGTCCCTAACAGGCTACTTGTTCCTAGATGGGGGGAGCGGGTAAAGGGAACTAGGGACAAAGGCACAAGAGGCAACAGAACTGTTATTGTACATGGACCAGGAGTGTCCTCTTATTAGCAGGCAATGTTCTCAAACCTCATTTCTCAGGATGGTTTGTTCCTGTGACACAGGGCATTCCAAGATGCAAGCCACGTCACACCTGGTGCCTGGGTTCCCAGGCCTGACCATAAAAGCCTAATAACCTGCTTGAAATGTAATAGGCACTGGACAGTGTACTCATTTGTTCTTTCCACAAACATTTACTGCTACCCTGCAGCGTGCCAAGCTCTCAGAGCATCCTGTGTCCCTCTCCCATCACAGCACTTACAATAATGTAGTATAATCGCTTGTCCCTGTTGAACTGTTAGCTCCCTGGGGTCAGAGACGTGTGTCTTTCTTGCTTCTCCACCAACTTGAGTTCCTAGCACATGACAGGGCCCTGAGTCAGCACTCAAGACACACCTGCTGACGAGTGTCAGCCACATTTCCAGAGGAATAGGATCAGCCCTGGCTGGTGTGGCTGTTGGTGGGGTGTTGTCCGGTGCACCAAAGGTTACCGGTTAGATTCCCAGTCTACAGGCTGGATCCCGGGTAGGGGCATGCAAGACAAGAGGCAGCCAATCGATTAGCTGCTTTCAGAGATGTTTCTCTCCCTCTCCCTTCCTCCTCTAAAATTCAATAACAATAGTTTTAAAAAGAAATAGGATCAGAATTCTAGTTTGGACTTCCAGGGTCACATCTCCCTGGCAGCCCCAGTCCCTCCACTAGGTGGACTGAAGGCCCTGGAGGGAGCCTGTGGCTTACTCTGGAGAGCCTGCAGGGGTAGTGGGAGGGGACACGGAGAGGTGTTCCTGGGAGTTCTGAGGAGAGGGGTGGGGCTTAGTGGCTGTTGGGCCCACCCTCCTCCCCCAAAGGCCACATCTCAGTCAGGAGCCTGGCCCCCTCTCAGCCCTGCTGAGGACCCCAGGAAGGAGCCATAGTCACCACCTGCCAAACAGGTGTCTTTTCCTCTTGCTCACTGGGGGGTCAGAACTGTCTCACAGCTTCTTCCCCATGCACCTGTCCCTGAAGCAAGCACTTACCTTGGGGACCAACTTCATTAAACTAAAATGTTAAAAAAACCATTTAAATAGCCCAGAATATGCTGGGGGATGAATGGTGCTGACTTCCTTCCCGTCACCTTTCTTGGGGCTGTGCAGCCGTGTAATCATCTCTGCTTCTGCTTCTGAGAAGCCCTCTGAGCCCAACTCCTCCCAGATTCTGGGAGTTCACCATTGCTGCACGGGGAATGCTCTCTCTTATGAAAGCTGTCCCACCGTCTCTTCTTTTCACTTATGCTTGAGGAAAAGAAAGGCTACACACAATGATGAGGGAATAGGGGAACATATTGTACAGGAGAGAACTGGAATTTCACTCAAAGATTTCAATTCCACTAATATGTATTGAGCACGAATTCCAGGTCTGGCACCACACAGGCAGAGTACTGAGCTAGGAACAGGCCCCTGCCCTCAAGAGCCCACAGGCGGGCTGAGAGTGAATGAAGCAACCTGTCCCTCAGTTCATTCAGCAGGCCTCTGAGAGCCTCCATGACTAGGCAGGCACTGAAGGATCCTGTCCAGCCTCAGGCAGCTTACGTTCCAGTGGGGGAGGCACATAACAAACATGTAATTGCAGAGTGTGAGAAGGGTTAGTATGTAAAGAGGGTGTTGGAACAGAGACTACTTGAGAAATGGGTGGACATCCTTTAAGCAATGTCCTTGCCAAAGCCCCTCTGGGTAACGCATTCTGAAGCCTGAAGGTGAGGGCACAGCATGTGGAAACCCAGGAAAGAACATTCCAGACACAGGGCGGTGCAGTGTAAAGGCCCTGGGGTGGGAAGGAACTTGGGTTTTTCCAGGAACTGGCAGCCAAGGCCTAGTGTGTGAAAGGGACAGCGGATGCACTGAAGTGGGAAGGCGGAGGACAGATTACAGGACACCAGAGTTTTGTTCCACATGTAATGAATCCTTTGGAGGGTTGAAGAAGAGGAGGGATATGCTGTTATTTGAATGTTTAAAGACTGCGCTGGCTGCTAGGTGGGAATTAAATGAAAAGGCAGCTGTGCAGGTGACAGGTAGGTGATGGTGGCTTGGACTAGCTAGCATGGCGGCCACGGAGGTGAAGTGGTTGGATTCTCTAGGATTTGGAAATAGAGACAGGGCTTGCGGACAGCTTGGCAAGAGGGAGGAACTAAAGATTCCTGTAGTGCTAATACACTGTGAACACTGCCACGCAGGGGGAGGCAGTATGCCTGGGATAGTAAAGAGAGGTCCCTCCTGGGCTGCAGGAGTACTTCAGGCATCAGAGGGTACATTTCAGAGGAAAACTTAAGTCAGTCATCTTCCCAAAGCATCTCCTCCCCAGCAAGGCTCTGGCAAGATGGGTCACCCATGCTCAAAGGGTAAGGGAAAGGGCGGTTATCCAAGCAGAGAAGCTGTCCCATGGGCCCTTAGCATCCCCCCCTACTCCCTCCTTCCAGCCTAGCACCTAAAGATCTGCCCCAGGCAAGCTGTGATTGGGCCCCTCTGTGGGGTAGGGAGTAGGTAGGATAGCTGGGGTTCCCAGCAATGGTGGGATTGTGTGCAGGATGGAAAGCTGCAGTGCCAGCTGTTGTAAGACAAGGAAATTTCTAGTGGGCCCAGCAAGGCAGCTGCCCCAAGGGACAAAATGTACGTAAATTGTGCATAAACTAGAGGGACATATATAAATGAGAGCCTCAACAGATGGGAGAGACTAGAGAGAAGAACCACAGCGGCAGACAGCCTGCCATCATCTGAACAGGCCCCTGTCCTCCCCACTTCTACCTAAAAAGTGGAGAGAACTGCCTCTCCCCCTCACCCCACCAGCCTTAAAACCCTTCTGAGGCTCCCATCACCTTATCAGAGCAGTCCAGGCTCCTCAGCAGTCAGGCTCTTCACATCCAGGGCTTGTCTTCCCTGGAATCCAAATCTCCAGTCACTATGAACCACTTGGATTCCCAGAAGTAACAATGGTCTCTGCCTGCAAGTGTCCATCACCGTGCCTGCCAAAATCCTGCTCCCCTCAGGTCCCACTCAACAGTGACCCAATCCTGGGAGGACTCCCCTAACATCCCACCAGGCCCAGCAACAGCAGCCAGACTGCCCTCAACCACCAATTATTCCAGTCAGTATAACACCAAGGTTGCAAAATTGGTAGCCCGTGTGAGGTTTATACAATCTGTAGATGAAAATGCTTTAAAACATGTCAACATTTTTAAAAATTGGGCAATTTCACATAAAATTCTGGATGTATGGCTTCTCTTGAAAATTTAGGCTTTGCAACACTATATATTTTTTCATGTTTTATTCAAGTACTTTTATAGTTTCCTGTTTTTTTAATGTTTAAATCTCTATCTGAAATTTATTTTGGTGTCATGAATGAAGAATTTATTTCCTCACATGGCTAACCCACTATATTATAGCAGAAAACTTCCAACACATCCAGCTTTTAGATTTGGGTCTCACTGTTGCAATCTCACTTTAAATGACACATTAGTTAAGATCCTCTGAGACCCCAGAACTGGTGGGGAATCAAACCCTTCCTTTTGCTTCAGAGAGAAAAACATTAACCAGAACCAGTTTCCCAGGCTGAGTAGCTCTGCTACTCTGCCAAACCCTAAGGGTCCTGAGGAGAGCTCTTGAGTGAAGACAAGGTCACCCTGGCCAACAGGATTGCAGCAGAGGAAGGGTGAGGCTGAAACCTCAGAACTGGTTGTCACAATTGTATTTCATCAGTCTCCACACAGGGTCAGGCTATTCCTGGGCAAGTCTGCCTTTGTCCCTCATCTTATGGTATAATGTGTGCCCTTGGCCCAGTTCTCACAATGAATGCCGGCCCTGGATGATGTCATCCTTTCCCAGGGCTTCAATTAGCGTTTCCATGCAGATGACTCACAAATCCTCAACTCCAGTCCTGCTACCAGCAAGCCAGCTCCACAGCTGCCCTTCTGGCTGCCTACAAACCATTTCCACATGGATCTCTCCCACAGGCACCTTGAACTCAGCACATCCTACTCCTCCAAACTTCCCCTCCAGTGGATTCCAATCAATAATCCACAAGGGTATCTGTCTAGTCACACAGTCTGGAAATCACATCGTCCTCCAAAATGTCTCAGGTCCATGCCCCTTTCTACTCCACTGTCTTAGTTAAGGCCCTTAGTGTCACTGCCCAGGACAATAAATTTCTAACGTCTGTGTCCCCTTTCAATCTCCTCCAACTCGTCCTTCAAACTACCACTAGGTATCTGACAGTTTCACTCCCAGTTGAGTTCTAAGAGGTTCCCCACCTTCTACAGAGTCAAGTTCTAACTCCAAAAAATGATATTCAAGGTCATCCACTCTCTTTACCCCAACATCTCTTTCCCGTATTCCTACCATCGCCATACCTCCACCACTCACTTTACGCTTGTATCCCTCCATTTCACGGACTTTGCACTTTTCATGCTATTCCATCTACCTGGGATGCCTGTTAACCCCCAGCCACCCTTCACCAGGGTTCTGACCACCAGTAGTAAAGAATCTCTCCTAGTCTCTAGACCTGTGCTGTTCAGTACCGTAGCCTCTAGCCACATGTGGCTATTTAGCATATGCAAGATGGCTAGTCCAAATGCAGTGTAAGTGTAAAATGTACGCTAGATTTGCAAAAACTTAGTACAGTACTTTAAAAAAATGTAAAACATCTCAAGAATTTTCTCTACTGACTACATGTTGAAATGATGTTTTGGCTATAATGGAGTAAAACCAGGTATTAATTTCACCTGTTTCTTTTCACTTTTATTAATGTAGCCACTAGAAAATCTAAAATTACATTATGTGGCTTACATTATATTTCCACTGGGCAGAGCTGCTCTGAATATTATACATTTCTATCACCCTTCATTTGTATCTTATGTTTTTATTTATTCAGTCAACTAATAATTGCTCAACTAACTATGGGCCAAGCACTCTCAGAGGCACTGGAGATACAGTGGTGAATAAAGCAAGGTTCCTGACCTCAAGGAGCTTACAGTCTGGCGGGGAGCTTATATTCCAGCTGTGGTTTTTAAATGTATACCAGTCTAGACAACTCTGGCTAATACTGAGCACAAAGAACAAATATCCCATACTAACACATCCTTTGTACTTCTCATGCTCTCAGGTTCTCCCAAAGATGACATCACACGTGGTAAATGAGATTGATAACATATTACGCAACAAGCCCTACAGCAAAAAGGACTACAGATCGTAAGGCAATGCATGAGCCATAGGAGCTGCATGGTTCAAATATCGGTCTATACCGGTACAGAAAGGTGTTCCTAGGCAGTCTTTTAAGTCACTTAGCAGCTACTGCTCAACCTCTAGTGTCCCCGGATGCTGAGGTGTCTGCTGTCGCTACCACTGTGCACCCAAATTATGAGCACATCTGAAAACTCACAACTAAGAAAATCCATTCTATTTTCTTATTGTGGACTGGAGTCACCTATTCTTGCATTGCTCTGTACACCTCATGTTAATGCAATGGAAAGTATATAGCAGGGAAAGCGGTATTACCTGCAGGCATTCAGTAACTTAAAGAAGGCTATGCAGATAGATTTATTTTTTCAAATGAACAAAATCCACACAGGGAATGTGGATTGCATCAGAAAGAGGACACTGTTTACTCAGAAGTCCTGCTTGAGAAAATAAGCAAAAACAATTTTAAATTTTACGTTTTCCTATTTTCACCTTCCTATTATGAGCAAGCTGTTCCCCTTATCATTTTCAATAAAACTGACTCCTAGGTATTTGGTTTCATTACCTTTTAAATATTCACTGTGTTTGGCCCCATGAAATGACCCTGTATAGCAATTTATCCAAGGTCTCTACCAGAATTCTAATAATGCTGTTCATTTACATGTAGAGATTGTAAAAGGATGAACACCCCAGTCTTCAATTAGAGACATTATGGTAAATGTATGAAAGGGGGGATTACATTACTATGGAAGCTTAGCTTTGAATAAAATGTAATGCATCTGCAATGAACTGTTCACTTTTTACTACATTTTATGAAAACCTGCTTTATATTTTTGCCTGCTTATAGGCACAACTTCTGCAAGTTTAAATATTTGAGCTTTAAAAATAAATATACACATGCTCGGTTTTGTAAGTAAACCTGTAAAATACCCAGAAAGGCAAATGTCTGTGTTTAATTAGCACTGGGATTTTACAATATAATGCTTGGCGCTTTTGAGGAGTTAGTAACATGAAAGTAAATCATGGGCTCTGTGAAAAATGCTGTCACTACTCAGCATATGCTGGGTGAATTAACTTGCCCCATGAAAAACAAATGTTAAAGCACTTCCTGATTCTATAACCACACTATGTGCACTAAACTATATGCATGAAAGCTCCCTGCATGGATTACAGGGGCCTGGCTTTAGTGCACTCAGAAGCTGAGGTCTATCTAGCCCTGCCACTATTGGCTACCTACCCTCATGAATACTCCACTTGAGAAAAAATTTCAGACTATATTGTATGTACCTGTAAGAGAAAACATTTTTTCTCTTTTTTTGGGGGTGTGTTCGGGGTGAGGGTCCTATAACTATTTGGACACCTGAGCATGTACAAAATTCTAATTAATTTTCTGGCCAGCTGGTCCCTCATATGGAAATCATTTGAGACTTACAGGAAAAATATACTATCAGCTTTAAATGCTATTTTCGGCCATCATTTCCAGAAAGGTATTTCATGGTTAAATTCTAAATATCAAAATGTTAATGTGAAATAACCAATAAATTTCCTTTTTGATTACTACTTGTATTCAATTAAGGAAACAGTTTGGGTTTTTGCCCCAAACTATGAGAATAATGACGGATCATTTTTCAGTTGTTCAGTGTATTTCAATCAATCCAGTGAACTGTTGTATGTAAAAATGAGCTGAAACTGTCTAATTGAAACTGCAATTTAACTTGCTTAGAGTAATAAAACATTTTGTGCATTTAATCTCACAATTTTATCTTTCTTTCACTATAAAACACCATATATATGTGTGTGTGTGTGTGTGTGTATATATATATATATCTCCATAAAACAGGCAGGAAGACTCATTTAATAAAAGTGATGTTGGCAGGTAAGCTGCACTGAGGTATCTAACAGAAACAGTAATCAAGATTTATACTGCAATCCATACTTTTCTTATTAATGGAGTAAATGATTAGCTACTAAAGATATCATTTATCTGGTTTTAGAAATACTCTGCACTAAGGTTAAAGCTTCTCAAACTCATTTAAGAGCTTGCAAATGAAAACCAAATACAAACATTGCTTAGCCGTGGGAATAGCTAGCCTTTTTTTATATAAGAGTCATCTGCCACGGTAAATACACTAGGTAAGAAACACACTTCACAATTATACCCTTAAGAAAAATTTCCATGCACTCTCATTTTATTTTCTATTTTGGAAAGAATTCCTTGGGAGAGAACATACCATTCCTAAGAGTAACCTGGGTAGCAGCCATCCACATACTAAAATCTCAGCCAGGGGAAATGAAAACTAGAAACCCTGTGCCTGGCTTTCCACTTTAAGAACTGTCACTTCATCTTCATTAATAGCGTGCCAAGGGTCTTCAGACAGACAGCAGAGCTTCAAGAGACCATGGCCATCTTCAAGACCATCCCTCCTTGGCAAATGAGGAAACCAAGCCTGGAAAGACTAGAGGACTTGCCCAAACTCACACAGCTAACTGATGGCAGAACCAGGACTAGAATCCAAGTATTTTGCTCAGTGTTCTTTCAGGTACAATTTTTTTAGCTTTAAGGCTTTGTAAAAAAGTAACTGTGTGTGTGAATTTTTAAGTTAAAAAAAAAAAAGGTTGGGTATGAATCCAAATTCAGAATCAATTAAGACAAAAAGGTCAAAGGAGTTATACAATTAAAACTCATGAAGGCAAATGAGTAGTTTCTAACCACCTCCATGAAAATTTAAACCAACCACTTAAAAACCACTCCTGATCTTCAATTTACTCCCATGCTTTGTAGTCCAAGCAGGAGGGAGATAACCCCTTCCAGCCCAAATATGTGCATCTGTAAACTGATTCTCCCTTTATATGTACATGCCTGTATATATCCTTCCTTTCTATCTCCCAACACAGTAACTGGCACAAACACTGAAAACACAAACAAGGTGAGGCCAGCACATCAGGTATGGATTGGAAGAGGCTCGACACTTTGCTTTGTAATATAACTGCATTATGCCAGTCACCGCCACACGAATATTAGATCAGTAACTACAAAAATGCACATTTACTAGTGTAAGAAATTTAAATGATGGGCAATGTAAAATAATGCAATAAAAATGATTTATTCACATGGTTCTTATAAAGAAGTCTAGGGAAAATATGAACTTTAAAAAGAAAAGTTTAATGATACTTAAAGTTTAATGATACTTAGTGAGACCTTTCACAAGAATTTTAGATATGAATCCAACCTCTATATTTCAGTTAACTTTAAAACTTGTATCAAATTATACTTTCCAAATTAGAATAATATAACAAATAGAACAACCAGTACATTTTTACTGGCTAAGAATAATTCTAAGGTTTTTATTAAGTTGTAAATAAAGAAACTAAAAATAGGGAAATGTAAAATGTTCCAACACTTTAAGCCTCTAGTTATCACAAGAGGTGTGAAAAAAGGAATTTAATCACTTTAAATCCCAATTACAACAGAACTCTTTATTTTACTGGTGTGTTGGATAGGAGGGTCTTTGGAGATAAAAATTCTACAAGTTTTTACTAACTAAACCAGACTTAGCACATCATAATTCTAGCATGTCGACACAGCCATTTCAGATGATTGGGAGAGGTCAGAGGAAAAGGTTCTGCAATTTGCAAGAGTCGAGTACTGATATCCTGCATAAAACTGGCACGGTGAGTACATGCCTTATAAACGTATGCACAGAAATTTATCTAATAAAGGACGTTAGAAATCATCATCAGGGTGAAAAACAGAGTCCTGTAGGAAAAATTCAGAACCAAAATCAAATTTTGCTTACTTGCTTTCCTACAAATTATTCAGTTTATTAATTCAAGAGCAATTCTTTAAAGAATACTAAGCTTATGCCCCTATATCACCACCCCATTTCTACTACACAGCATTATACTAATAGTGGCAATTCTTCCCCCATCTATATAGGCACTGCCATCTAGTGGCAATTTCTTACCTGCAATTTAAAAGATACTTGGCCCAGCTGTTAACAAATAGTAGAGCTGATGGTTTGTCAAATAGTCACTTTGTCAAGTAAGCAAATGCATTTGGTGTACAAACTCCATGCCACTTGTCAAACTACTGACTGGTTATTTATCAACAGAAAACACACACACAAAAACAGGTTAAAACATAAAAATAAAACTCTTATGTGTTACACTAACTACTCTGCAGTGACTCTCCTGGCACCCACATTCACTTCATATTACACAGAGATGGCACATGAATAATAATGCACCAAAGAGAAGAACTGATGAAATATAATCCTCAGCTGAAGACAATGATGGCCTGGATCACTATGCAAGTGTACTCCTCCCAGTCTTCCTTCCAAGTCCTTGAATGCGGCCTACCAAAATACCTAACAGCATGGAAGTAAAAAAATGAACTCCTAAAGAACACCCTTCTATAAAGTTATAAATAAAACAGCAAGCACTACTTGCAATATTCATCTTAATTTAGAAGTGGAATTTAAAGATTAGTTAGGATTAGAATTAGAAATATGACACTGCCTTTGAGGTACTGCTTATAAGAAGTTACTAGATGTGGTAAAGCTAAGAGGACTATGAAAGCACTATCACCTGGGATTCCATAACCTTTCAGTGATATGGGTTCAAGAGCTTCCCAAACTTTTTCAAATCATGGCACACATGGAAAATGAAAATATCTGTACACACAGTGGTTAAAAAACGCAAGAGATTGCTTTCAGCTTGACCCCCCACCCCCACCTAAGGGCTGAAGAGATCAGTACTTTATTCACAATCAATGGGAACCAGTGGACTAACGCTGATAAGCACTAACATCACTTTAATTCTTTGGAATGCTCTTAGAATTCTGGAGCTAAGATCACAAAAATTACTTTGGTCTTTTACATGTCACTATTCAGGAAAGAGGTTCTCTCTCTTACCAAACATTCCTCCAGTGGAAGAGACCCCCCCCCCC